TTTAAAAGACCATATGCAACACATATCATTTTAAATTTATTGTTAAATTTTCAAAACAATAGAAATGTTCAGAATGAAAATGTTACTAATTTGTTCTGATCGATTCTAGCTAAACGTTTACAGAATTTCCTAAATAAAACAAATATAATATAATTATGAGGTTGAAAATAAACTTACATGTATTTAAGCAAACAAGATAACATTGAATGATATTCTATTAGATTACAACAGCAAAAAAGATTCTGTATACGATCATATGAATTACTTTGCTTAGCTTTTATTTTAAGAAAATATGAAGCAAAATAAAAAAATTTTAATTATCTCAAAGAAAAAACTCACCTTATTATAATACAAGACTCCAAATATTGCCAACAGCATTCCAAAAATATTTAAACCAGTTACTGGATTTCCTAGCACAAAAAGTGATATGGCTATCACAAATATTCTCTTACTGGCATTAGCCACTGCGTAAGTTAATGGGGTCACTAATGAGAGAACACTGAATGCTATAATGTTCTGCATAAAATTTAAAGCTCCATCAATTAACAATAAAGCTGTTGTCTTTGACTGAATAGTATGCTAAAAAGAATAAAGTAAATTTAATGAAAATATGTATTATATAAATACATAAACTATTTTGATCATATAAAATAAATGTTATACCTACCAACTTGGTATCTTGCAATAAATACATAAAATCTACACAGAACCATACAGGTAGAAACATCATTAAAGCCAATCTTCCTAAAACATGTAGCAATCGAAGATGATGCACTCCTGTATCATGCAAAACCTTTTTAGAGAATATATTCATAAGAGAAAATCCCATTGTTGATATTAAAGCACTGACTAGTCCTATAATGTCAAAACTAATTTCTGTTATAGTGGCTATAGCAACTCCAACAATAATAGGAACTAAACTAACATACACTTTCACAGTCTGTTTCTCACCCATAATTACTCTCGATAAGATCACAGTAAAAAGTGGCATTGTTGCTTTCACTAAAATTTATAAATTAAGTAATAATTACTACAGCCAGCCATTAAGCTTCAATGCTCACCAGTATGAGCATAGGAGACAGGGACTTTCCATATGCTTACGTGGGAAAACACGGACGCAAGGAATTTCCCAAGGGCTAAGGGTATTATCAATTTACAGTAGTATTTCCACGATATATCCACGTATTTTCTTATGCCCCATAAATTGAAAATGGGTCCGCTATAAACTGTTATTGATAACAGCTGCACCATTGTAACCGTCATCGGATAGGGAAATTCACTAAGTAACATTTTTCCAATAACATTATTACTTGAACTAACTATATACCACAGTATGCATAATAATAACACAGTAAGTACTTCTTTCATCTGCCTGCGATCAGCCATGCTACTAGCAGATAACAGATAAAAGAATGGATACACAACCGATTCAACTTTCGGCGAGATATCGATTTGAACAGACTTGAAAGACTGATGAAAACAGATGTAAAACCATTAAAACGTCAACAAAAAAACGTCATTGCGTAAATGTGTCAAATAAGAATATGGACACACTACCGCAGACTGTAATATTAAACGAATTGCAAACTAAACAGTGTATGGCAGTTTAAAACAATGCCAAACAGAACTGAATTATGTTGATAATTTGCAAGCTAAATTAAACTGATTTCGAGCATGCAACTTAGTGATAACGAAAATAGATTTGTAAGTTACTGACATTTTAGCCACCACGTTTTCTTAAAGCACCATCTATCATTCCGTTTACTAATCAATTTGAATAAATTCGGCGGGATCGATATTTTAATGTAAAATTTTGGAAATTATTTTGCCTTCCTGCTTATACCAAATACGACTAAAAGTAAATTTGTATTTGTTCGTTAATACTTTCTTATTTCTTTTATTATTCTTCGAAATTATTAATGTACAATTCTGTAATATTAAAACATCGATTTTAGCACAATTTAAATGCTGCATTGCGTTTTATCTCCGCTTATTAATGTATACTTATAAACTACTAAAAGTTCATGGCTAATAATGGAAGTTCATCTTCGATGAGCAAATATTTTGATAAGAAACAAAATCAGAAAACTGATATCGAAGAATTCTTAAAATCATAGAAACAGTAATTTACTTAAGTATAGTAACATTAAACTGTAATATGAGCTTGCTGGCATTTTAAACATTATTTCGTTGCATTAGAAGCGTGTGAAGTAATTAAAATAGTTTTAGTAGTTGTTCGATATCAAAGTTGAACAGTTCCTAGCAAAAAGAAATTTAAAATGAATATTAACAATAGTGCTTCCACTAAAACAATTAAAGATTTCGACATAGATAAACCTAGATATGATATGGATAAGTATTTAGGCAGAGCAAAGCACTTTTTTATAGTAACAAACCCTTTAAATCTTTTTGTTTCGGATAAAACGTTAGAAAATGCTAAAAATATAGTTGAAAAGCAAAGGTAAGGATTTTATATTAGTTTAATTTTTTAATTGTTAGAAATCCACGTAAGCTATTTTAAATAGACTATGGAAAATACTTAATTTATATGTTCGTCTAAAAATGCCTATTTCCGTTAGTTTTAACTATTCAACAATAAAAAAAGAAAAAATATTTCTATTGTTTTTTAGAAAAAAAGAGTTAGTTGAAGTATCGGAAAAAGAACTGATAAAAGCCAAAGTGATTTATGATTCTGCATTTCATCCTGAAACTGGCGAAAAACAGTTTCTTTTAGGAAGAATGTCAGCTCAAGTTCCTGTAAATATGGTCTTAACGGCTTGTTTGACATTCTTTTATAAAACCAACACTGCCATTATATTTTGGCAATGGGTTAACCAATCATTTAATGCAGTAGTAAATTTTAGTAACAGGAGCGGTGATAGTCCTATTACTAATCAGTAAGTATTGTTGTATATGTATATCAAAATAGAAAACAATATAAATAATTGAAGAAACCTTGTTTCTAAACTACGTACATGCCTCTATAATTACATAAACATTACGATGTAATATTATGGACGCTGTAATGGTATATAGTATAATTTATAAACAATACTATGTACTTTACGTTCAAGCAATTTTTGCGATCATCAAATTTTCAAACTATACTTTCATTTGTTTGTGAAATGGTATTGTTTTATGTGAAACCTAACAATACTTTTTTTTTAATTTAAAACTAGTCATCCACGCCTTTTATTAATGAAGTAATTAGGGCCAGTAAAACAATTTACGTTATTAAATTTTAAAACAATAGGTACATATTTCTTGTCACCACAATATTAAAATGGGTAGTTCAACTTTAAGCTTTTATTGTTTTACATAATTTCTAAATTGTTGTAAGGATTAATTTCATTTATTAGGAAACCGTCATTTTAATGCGAAAAAAAAATGTTTCTTGCTTTAAAATGACGGTTTCTTGATAAATGAAATAAAATCAAACAACAATTTAGATTTGTAACTATTTTAATTTGGATGTGGCAAAAAATATCAATGCACCTATGATTTTAAAATTCAATTTCGTAAACTGTTTTAATAGCCGTAATTATATCATTACTGTTAAAAATATTTTGATACGGTTCGTTGTAACTGATTTGTTGTTCAATTACCGATATATTTGGGTCTTCATTAATAAATTTTTATTGTAAAATTTGTGGGATTTTAAATAGTTAGGTAACGTATTTTGCACATGCACTTATGTTTTATACGATGCCTACAATCCACCTACTAAATAAGATATCATGCAGCATTAAATAAATAATAGGATGTATTTCAAATTCCGTTTTATTTACAGACAAATTCTTTGGTCCTATGTAGCAGCCACAAGTAGCGCCGTAATCGTTTCGTTAGGCTTAAAGCGTTTATTACGGGTAAAACTCGATTTAACAATCAGTACTTACATAATTGCATATAATGTTACCACAAATTACTTATGCATATATTGCAATTTATAACTATAGTGGAAAACATGTAAAATCTCCATAATACATCTTATTTTACCGCTGATATAATAACAAATTTAATAAAAGATAAATAATTTTGGTAATTTTTTACATTAGTTGACATTGGAATTGAGACATGAAGTTTAGTCAGGTAGGCGGTACTCACCAAGTAAAGTAGTGTGGTAGTATTTATTAGAATTTTGTTTATTATTTGTTTAAAAATCAATGTGACTGAGA